CACGGATGCCCTTGCCTATCATAGCAGGAGGTTATCCTGGCACTGAAGGAGGCCATCTGTTCAGCCTAAAGTGAAAACGATCGTCTCTCTTCTTCTTCTGGGTCAGGCTTGCACCATAATGACACAGGATTTGGTGAGAACTCTGTGAAATTTAGGGCTGCCCAACGGACCGTGGATCATCTGCCAGTTGCAACAATTAGATTAGGGAGCATTTAGATCAGGACCCAAATGGCCACGAGGAGCAAGCGCTGCTTGTCTCCTTTCTCAGTGGAGCAGTGTCCAACACTGACTGCTGATAGAGAAATCTAGGGCCTTCATTCTGTGCAGCTATGTTATGTTATGATGGTGGTCACCAGGTTTGGCAGCAGGAGCAGATTTGCTCTTCTCCTGGTCAGTCCTGCTGCAGCCAGCCATTTAGCAGCAGCAGCAGCAGCAGCAGCAGCAGCCCAGGTGGCAGCAGCAGCAGCTGTGACAACAGTGTCTCCAGCAGGAGCTCAGGCTCAGCTGTAACCTGCCTCCTGCAGAGCCCGACCAGGAAACAGAGCCAGGAAGAAACTGAAATCAGGGAAAAGACAAAACTCAGGGAGATTGGTGCTGCTCATGGCAGAGTTCATCTACAGTCCAGGAAGGGAGGAGGCAACAAAAACATTAAACAACACGCATGGTCAGAGAGAGGTGGACGGTCCCAGGGGAGGGGCTCAAACCAGCGCCACACCACTGCACATCTGCGGGGGTTGCTGGAGGAAAAGATAGAAGCCAAACTGAAGTTCTCTCACTTCCTGGATGAGGTGACGTCCAACGTCCTGGATCCAAAAACCCTGCAAGCGTTTGGGAGACCGGCTCCCCCCTCTGGCTCCACCACCCCGTGCAGATTAGACAAGTCTGAAGGTGGAACGGTCCAAGTTGTGACTCAGTGGAGCCCCAGGCCGGCCCGCTCCATGGCCCAGCAGCTTGAGCAGAAGAAGGCCCAAAAAGAGCAGACGCTCCCTGACCTGACACAGAAAATCTATCTGGAGACAGACATGGACGCCGTTAGGGTCAGGGATGAGCGGCAGAACTTGGAAACACAAGCAGACAGGAGTCCGCAGCTGGAGAAAAACGTGGTCCCACCCCCCCCACGGTTCTGCCAGGGGTTGAACCTGAGGAGTGGGATTTCTGCGATGTATGATGGCTCTCCTTACCTCAGATACCCTCACAGATCTGTCTCTCTACCCAGGGGCATCAACATGGTGAGTGATGAAATCTGTCCTAGTGCCGCCGAGCGTTTGTTTTGATTGAAGAGGAAATTGTTTCTCTGGGTCTGAAGAGGTGTCAGAATAAATCAGTGCAGGTATCGAGGAGATTTGACTGAGGCGTTATGATCTACGAGCTGAAAGGAAAGCGAGGATAAGGGTTGGCTTTGCACCATTAGCGTTGTGGGTCTCTGAGTTCCCTCTGTTTTTTTTGTTCAATACTGTAAGTTAGACATTCAGATTATTATTATTACTTTGTGACCAAGTCCTCGTCGGCTGTTCTATTACAAACTGTTGGATATTTTTTTGTAGAACTTGTTAAAAAACTCAGCTGATGCTGAGTTACAACTGAAAATATCATAGTGTCACAATAATAATAACAACTAATACTATTAGTAGTAGTAGGAACGGAGGCAACAAAATGTGTGGCCCATGTTTTTAGCAGCTACATTTCTTTTTGCAAATGTTCTCCGTCCCTTAAAAACTCTGTCTTTTACCCCAACTGTGACAACATGTTACTCTGATAAGTTCAATTTGACAAAAGCAGGTGGCGCTGTGGTGCAGCTTCAGCCTCAGCCACTCTTCTCCATAGACAGATTACTGTCGTGAATTCCCAGGACACCACAACACGTCTTTGTGGCTGGATTTACGGTGTTGTCTCTGTGGGAGAAAAAAAAAAAAAAAAAGGGCAGCTGAGAAAATGCATGACAAATTTCTGAAATGGGAAACGGTTTCTCCATTAGTAACGAAGAAGACGGGGATCACATTCCTTTAATTTATTGTCTGATTAAAATTCAGTCTTTGCCGTCACCTTAGCAACTGCTTGGAAATAGGTGGGTGGTGTGGGTGCTGCAAGCCAGGCATGTGAGCCTGTTGGTGTTCATCGCAGAGTAGTGTGTGAGCGTCAGTGTGTGTGTGTGTGAGCGTCAGTGTGTGTGTGTGTGTGTGTTGTGCGCACTGAAAAGTTTCATGTCTTCACACGAGTCCTTGCAGTAACAAAGCGTTCTTCACAAGCACATGACCTTCTGCTGAGCATTGGTTGAAGACACAAACTCAAATTCTCTCTGCCCTCCCACCCCGGCTCCCTCCAGGCACAAAGTCATCCGTTTTCTTTGTTGGTATTCCATCCATATCCAGATCCAGTAGAGAGCAAGTATAAAAAAATAAAAAAAAAGAAGAAAAATCTTCCTGCATCGTTCACTGTGCTGGATATTCACAGCTCTGCTCGTCTTTTCTCAAGTGAGGAACTGGTTAAACGGACTTCTCAGGGCTTCCACAACTAATGAAACCTGATCGTGTGGCAGCGTGGATGCCACTCTCCATCAGGCCTGCACCCTAAACGTGAATGAAGATAAGAATTCTGGGAAAGTATTTTCAGGATGATACATAATTCATCGCTCTCAGAAACATGGGAAAGGCAGCAGCAGCAGCAGCGGTAAAAAAAAACCATTCTTCCAAACAGCCTGGGATTTGAGCTGTAACATTCAACAGATTGAACCACCTGTTCTACCTCACCTCCTCCCCTCTCCCTGTCTCCCCTCTGTTTCCTCGTCAGCACCTCCCCTCTCCTCTCTGTCGCTCCAATTCAGCACTTCCACAGAGATATTGACTTGCTGCAAGTGTCCCTCCTGGGGGATGTGGGGGGGGGAGGGGGCTCGCCGTGTATCTGCAGTCTGGCTGCAATGGAGGGTTTCTCTCAACTCTCTCCCTCCTCACTCACTCCCCTTCCTTCCTGCCCCGCTCTCTCAGTCTCTCCTGACTTGATTTGATGGTCTTCTTCTCACCTCAAGTATGAGCGTGGCTGCAGACAGCAGGGCTTCAGACTGATGAGCGTTACATGGTCTTGCTCATGGACAGGGGAGGAAGGGGAGTGAGGGATAATAGGATGAGGACTGGAGGAGAGGGAGAGAGAGAGAGAGAGTGAGGAAGAGGAGAGGAGATAAAATAAACAAAAAACCAGGAGGGAAGCAGAGAGAGCCTCTGCTGAATATGTATGTTTTGTTGCTTCCTCGCACCGAGCTGCCACAGCATCAGACTGATGCACTGAGGAGTTGGCAGCTCCCGGGCCACTCTGATGGGTCGCTTCATTAACGTCCTGTCTTTCCCTTTAGGTGTCTGCTGAAGACATGAGCAACGCCGATGCTATCAGGTGAGCTTCCTTCTCTCTCCCTCTCCCCTTCTTCTGCACATATCTTTTAGCACTCCATCATCACACCCCCACATTCTCCCTGTCTTCCTCCTTTTTTTAAAGCTCCTTCCCTCCCACTCTTCCTCTCTTTCTCTTCCTCTACTCCTGCGTAGTCTCTCTCCCTCACTCGCTCTGTCTTCCCTCCTGGCTCTGTTGCTGATGCTGCTGCTGCTGATGCCGCTGATGCTGGAGTGGCGTGTTGGTGGTGGCAGCAGTGGGGTGGTGGTGTGCAAGTGTTGGGGTTTCTCTGAGCTAGGAGGGAGAACGGGGTAAGCCAGTCCAGATAACACACAGGAGGAGAAGTCAGGGATTTCTCCGCTCACTCAGCAGAGCTCTGGGAGCTGGATTTTTATCTCTGGGATTCCAGGATGAAGCTCTGCGTACGGGAAAGGTATTGGTTTCACTGCTTCTGCATCTCTGATTTTGGGATTATAAAGCAGGCGTGATTGTGCTAGTCTCCCTCTGTCTCCCCCTCTGTCTCCCTCTGTCTCCCTCTCTCTGTGGATGTGCTGCTCTGTATGTTGCGTGGCTGCCCTCACTCTGTCAGTTCATGCTCCCTGTTCTGCTAACACAGTGCTTTTAAGATGCATCTGGTCTTTGAGTAGTTTGTCAAAGCTCCTTTAAAAGGGAAATAAAAAAAATCCTGTTTTCATTTTGCAAAACAAGCCAGAGAACCGTATGCAGGAAATCTCTTGGCTTGAAATCCACTGCGGTTGTTGTGGCATCAGTGACGGATCTCTAAAAAAAAAAAGCTCTGGTGAATTAGTTTTGAATGTGTTTTTCTTGCAGATACGACTGTTTTTCAGATTACACTGATTTGGAGCTGAACCCGTCAGAGTCCAGAGTCATGATGGCACTTTTATTGCCAGTGTTTGTTACTTTTCTAAGTGATTTTCACTGGGTTTAAATGCTTCACAGAGACGCCTCTAAATTCCTGCATAAACAGATTTTAATGATCTCATTAGAAAATTGTAAAAGCTCACAGACTTTTTTTTTCTGATTAAAGTTGTTACACACTAATTGAAGCAGAAAGTCACAACATGAGGAGACGCAGGAGAGGTTTCATCTTTTTATCTATTTTTTGTTTTTTTGTTTTTTTGTTTTGTTTTGCAGTTCCTTCCTCTCTGCCATCGCTCCCACCTCATTGTCCTACATTTTAATTAGCAGTGCCACTAATGAACCATTATTAATCATCTATCAGATGGAAATAGATCCGAAGCCTCTTCTTTTGTGTTGGATTACCGATGGTCTTATTCTTATTATCATAATTTCAGGCAGATTACAGTTTAAAAACCAGCTGATGAGGGCTAATTAATCTGACACCGTGTTTCTCAGAGTGAGCCATCACTTGTCCTCACCTCGCTGTCACCGCTCTAATTGAATTATAGCGACCGTGTTGAGATAAGACGGGGGACGACGTGTGCCTGGTCTCCCAGCTGCGTGTTTAAGAGGAGACAAGGTCACATGTAGCCTCTGTGGAGGACGTGATGGGGTCAAACCAGTAAGCACAGTCCACCTGAGGAGTCCGATTTCACGGCCCAGACACCGCCCCCCCCACCTCCGCCCACACCTTATCTCCAAGACGCCTTCCAGACTAAATGATGAAATGTCCTGAAATCAATCCAGTCTTCTGCTCTCTCTCTCTCTCTCTTTCTTTTGTCTTCTGCTCTCTCTCTCTCTCTCTCTCTCTTTCTTTTTTCCTCTCCCTCTGTCTTTGTTCTTTTGAAATTTCTCTCCGTCAGTTGGACACGATCGTGCATCAGAGCGCTGTGTCTTCCCAGCAGAGGCAGACGGACCTCAGTTGGACAAACAAAGTTAAAGGTTTTGCAATGTTTTCAAAAGATGCAGATTTTTGGGACAACTCTCAAAATCGTCGTCTGAAAATGAGTCTGACAGCCGTTCCTCTGACTGACAGCCTTTAACGTCAGTACGTCGCCTTCTGAAAAGGCAGGTGACAAAAAAAACACAGCAACAAGAAAAGTTTGATCTGTCTTTTCTGATTAGTTTCATTCTACGGTGTTGCACTTCTTTCATTTTTTAAAATCAATAATTCCATATTATATTTTCATTAACAGAGTAGGTGACATGTATATATTTATATATTACATTTTGCCTGCTTTTTCTTATTAAAAAATATTTAAATTTTATATTTATATTAATTCACTGTTAAACTCTCAATCACATTGATTTTAATGACTGTTAATGAAAAGAGTAAAAAATATTCAATTCCAAAAACCTATTTTTGCCGTCACATTTTTTTTTACAGTTTTTATCTATTTTATTTTAAACAGTTAAATATTTGAAGGACATGAGAGGCAAAGTGAGATCTGCGTCTGTGCGGCACATATTCCATCTACGAGTTGTCACTTTTTGAAACCCAAATTCTTCACTTCTTTATTTGTGGACCTCTGCATCAGATGTTCAAACAATAACCTCGCTGCTCAAACCATAAGCTGAAGCTAAGGATATCTGCAGACGTCAGCGAGGGAGACAGACGTTCACTGTGTGTGCGTCAGATTATTCAGTGATTGGTTTATTGTCTGTGTTGGAGGAGAATTTATTGGTTATTTTGTTAAGAGTGAAGTGAAGACCATCATCTGCTCAAGTTTTCTCAGTTTGCTGATTAAAAACAGTGTCTCAGACTGAGACGAACCGGGCGTGTGACCCGGCCCATCAGTGGTTTCACCCCTGGTGAGTTAGGTGTCCAGTCAATGACGTTGAGTTCAGATGGAGTGCAGGGAGAGGATTGGCTGAGGCGGGGGACAGGGGTGAGTCTGAGGAGCCTTCAAGAAGTTTCAATCTGCCTGAGTGGACAGTGTTTTTCACGTCCTGTTCTTGTCGTATCTTTTTGATGAATGCACTACGTTCATCGTGTTTGGACCGTTCAGGCTCCAGTCAAGTTTTGAAAGATTCTTCCTGTAATCTGACTTGAAGGTTTACGTCCATTTTTAATCTGATAGGTTTGCTGCAATGCAGTGTATTTTAATTGCCGTTCATTTTTAGTATTCAGTTTCCTGACATTCATGGTCTGATCTAAAACAAAGTTTGTCTTAAAGAAACAGAAGGTTTCATGCTGTCTCAACTAAAACGTTAAGTGGATTTTTTTCTTCCATTCACACTGAGGGTCACTACGTAAGTCACAACCTCAGCACATATATCCTTAATGTTTCTGCGCTGAGTTTGTGATGTGACTTGAAATGACGAGAAAGTCAAGCTGATGTAAAATTATGTATTGAACGCCGCCTCGCTCAGAATGTTACATTAACATTTAGATTCAAATCTGTCCGGGTGAAAAAGTAAGACTTTACTTTATACGAAACCAGTTCACACACACTCAAACACACATACATACGTATGATATATATTTAAATGTCATATATCATTTACACACCCCAAAAGAATGAATTGTCTCGGTGCATTTCCCAAAATTGAACTATTTCCCAAAGCAGTAACCTGAACCTGACACTTTCAAAATGTAAATGAGTTCATAAGAAAAAGGAAATCCTTCATCTAACTTTATGATTCTTAACAAATATGTTTTGTTTGTTGAAACTGAGTCCTGAGCCTCTGCATTAATGGTTTTGTGCAGTGGAAAGCTTTTATTGCTTTTCTCTATTTTCCCATCATGCATCTGTCTTTCTCTTTTCTGTGCACGCTCCATTCATGCGTTCTCACTAAAGTCTTTTCAGGAATGCTCTTCAAAATCAGGGAAAGGCCTGGAAAGTCCTTAATCAGAGCTGCCCGTGACGACACACACACTTAGGTATCCATAAATATTAAAGCTGTCATTCATTGACAGGCCTTAGTATTTTAACCGTCACCTGGTACAGACACCAGCGCTAACTTTAGCATGTCATTCATTGACTTGTGATTGTAGTAGATGGACAAAAACAATATAGAATATAGAGAGCACAGTCCTGGTACAGACTTGTGATTGTAGTAGACGGACAAAAACAATATAGAATATAGAGAGTATTTATTGACTCTCATGATTAATTTGATTTAAAAAAAATATTCTAGCAAAAATGTATTTTTTTAATTTATGTTTTGTGCTCAGGGCATGGCTCTTTAAAAACCCAAGCAATGTCGATGATGAATAAATAAATAATAATAATTTGACGGGTGGTTATATCAGAACAAATATTCTAGTTTCTAACGAGTAATAAATTGACGTAACCACCATATGGTAGTGAATGACTGTTATTTCCCCCTGAAAATGGGAGATTTCTTAGCTGTTTTTCACAGAGTCTGGGCTTTCGACTTCAAAAACTTCACCGAGCAAAACAGGGATTAAACCCACATCCTTAAACTGCTGCTGCACCTGAGTGTTTAACCCCCGACTTCAAAGCCTCACAGTTCCATTATTAAACTGTGAGCTGTTTGACCAGGAAAATGTCTGACCTTCATCTATTGAAGCATTTGACTTTTACTTTTAACAATGAGAGAATTTTCCATGCATTATTAAATCGTTCACGTCCAAACGTCAGAGTCGGCCCCTCATCTCCCGCTGCAGTGGCTCGGAGCCGTCTGAACGCTGTTTCTCCTAATGTTTTCTGCTCTTTTTGATGTTGCACATGAAAATTCAATAATTAAACTCCCAGACCTAGGTTTTTTATTTGTCTTCAGTTTTGGTCCAAAGGTCTTTGGACGTATATTTTTTATTGTTTTTACTCATCTAATGACTTTTTTTTTTTTTTGGCTGGGTGAACGGGCACTGGAGAAACAGGATCATTTAGAAGATTTGAGGATGTGTGTTTAATCCCCCAGCAACTAGAGCATCAGAGAGCAGGAAGATTAAAGGAGAGAGAAAAACAGTCTGACAACCTCAGAGAAAAGTGAGAAGAACTTAAAGTCTCAGAAGCCGAGGAGCCTCGTTAATGTTGTGGGTTTGTTTACGACTGCTGCTGGTACTGACGCTGCCGAGGGTTAAACATGGAGCCGACTTGCAGGAGATTTATTATAGGGATTACAGGATGTCGTGGAAAATCATTAAAGCCCCCCTCACATGCAGCCCATACTGTTGTTATGGGTGTGTGTGAGTGTGAAGTCCATATAATCTCTAGGCTGCAGTAGAATTCAACACGCAAATGTATGAACTTATAATTAATAATGAAATAAGTATTTGGGTTGTGAAATTAATCCTTTGACTTTGGAGAAGTTTTTGGAACATTTTCATATTGATAAGGACTTGGTTTGTTGGATTTTGGATTGTTATCTGCAGCAAACAGAAATATATGAAATAATAATCTTTTTTTTTTAGGTCTGCATGAGATCGACTCAAAGATATTCCCACATTTTATATGAGATATTACAGTGGCTAACTCCAACTTTTCTGACTTTTCACCTGGTGTTACGATATGACCGTCACACTGGCTTTGTTTCCTCGACATTTTTTGTTTCTGTTCTACTAACTTCAGTTTCCAGCAACAAAAATTCTCAGTCAGTTTTTTTTCTTCTTTTTTTTTATATACATGGTCTATTGTTGTAACACAACCCACAGTGGATTTCTGTGCTGTTCTGTCCTTGCTCACAGGTTCACTGTTGTGAGAGTGAGCACTGGGAGTTCCATTGTTGAAAAGGTTCACACACACACACACACACACACACACAGAGAGGGATGGTGTGGGCCGTGTGCATTCATGTGCACGTGTGCGTTTGCTGGTGTGTGTGTGTGTGTGTGATGTGCTCGTACATGTACGTTTGTGTATGTTCTGTTTATCACCAGCTGAAATTCGTTTGAAGAGCTGCTCGTTTTGTGCCGTTCCATGGATGTTTACTAAAAAACACGATCGGAGTCTTGGAGTTCTCCCACGTTTCCCCCAGACTTTCTTTGGTTTTAGTTCGGCTTCATGTTTTATCTCCTACATCAGTGCTATTGACTTTAACAAGAGGAACAATATGAGGCCATAATTGCTCCAATAATTTTTACTTTTGGTGACAAAAAGCATATAATCAGCCAAATTCCAAAAAAAAAAAGAAGAAGAAAAAAAAGTCCCTTTTTAAAAACACATTCTTGGCCTGTGTGAGAACGATTCATCAGCCAGGATTTTGGAAGCAACGTATCCATGAGAGAGTGGAGTTATTTCACAGAGAAGATCCTGACTGTCAGGTTTTAGGATTTTCACCAGACTGATTTTGGTGACAGTGTCTGTGATTGGGCTGAGACGACCGTCAGGCTGAGACTCAGAATACACGGAGTGAGGGAATATACTTCAACACCGTTAATGTGATGTTCAGCAGACACTTCTGGAGCCACCTGCTTTATTCTCCAAGTTTTCAACACTTTTCGTTGTCCTTGTCCCTGTCCCTGGTCCTCTCATCATTAAAGGAAGGAGACGGTTAAATATTTGTCACTGTGACACAGCCCACAGCGAAATGTGACCTCTGCTTTTAACCCATCACCAAAGGGAGCACGGGGAGCAGTGTGGCAGCTGGTGGACTCGAACCTGAAACCTTCCAACTCCGTGAATGTCCTTGGCAGTAAGTGCTGGACAGTAGACGTTGTTTTACATTAGGTTTCTGATCCATTGTAGTCAAAACAGAGCGGCGTTTTTAAAGCTGTTTGGTTGTTAGACACGCTGTGGTCGAGACATCTAGCTGGATTTTTTAATGTGGGAATGACTGGAGGGCAGCATCGTGTAACCATGGCAACGGATGGGTAGTTCTAGAGGGATGGCAGAGCTGATAAACTGGCTGATTTTTACAGTTGCATACTCAGTTGAGGGTTTGTTTGTTTGTTTTTTTCGCAGATGTGCAGTAAGGTATTGTTTGCCGTCCTACCGTGTATGCTAACCTGACAGGATACCAGACAGACTGGACCTCAACTGCATTATATCACATTATTATACAGACAACAACACGCTTCCAGTGCCTCAGGTGTTTAGATCACATGCTGTAGCTTGTGTTTATTTGACGCTGTGCTAAAAGGCGCAGCTGTGTTTGTGGAAACTACTGTACAGCCATGCTGCTAATGACCTTTGGTCGTTTAGGAAGGGATGTTTGTGGAAACTACTGTACATCCATGCTGATAATGACCTTTGGTCGTTTAGGAAGGGAACTACTTTGTTGTCTGCTGCTCAGCTGGACTAAGAAACCAGTTTGAATCCTCGAACATCTGTGTGTGAACGTCCACATTCATCCAATAAGTTCAGACTTTAGGCAGGTTGGCTGCCTTCTCTTCTTAATCTGAAGCCACTGGGCAGACTCGCCTCCATGACTCCTATCTCTGCTGCTGCTGCTGCTGCTGGATGAGTCAGCCACTCGGGTTCCCCCACTCTGACGCCCAGGTCTGGGTCTGTGATAAGGGGCTTTTCCTGAGAGGCAATGTATCTGCAGGATGGATGCATTCAGTGAGGCAGAAAGGTAGAAATGAATAGAGAGAGAGAGAGAGGAGGCAAGGAAACAGGAAGACCAAAGAATAACGCTGTTTTTCTGCAGGAAAATAAATCACACCCACTCTCTCTCCGAGACATTTGGCAGTTCTCCCTCTTTTATATAAACGTCGCTGCTCTTGTTGCCACCCTTTGCTCTCCTCTCCTCCCAAATTCCAAACCTTAATTTTCATCCTCTCTTTGCCCTCCTTTTTTTAATGCACTAAGTTGTCCTGAAACATCAGTGTGGCATGAGTGGGTGGCAGACAGCGCCATCTGAAAAAAGAAGGAAACCTGACTACGGTTTTGCTGCAGTGTGAGAACAGGCTAAAGGAAGGAGAAGCCAGTGAATGAGCGTAGAGGGAGTGAGTGTGGGTTTGTAGGCTGACAGCAGACACCGATGTGTCCTGAGATGTGTCTGTAACGGCTGTCCTTTCCTTGACTTTTATGGCAGATAGATGGTTTACTTCAGCTCAGGGAGACAAGGATTGAATGGGCAGCGCTGATGCTGCGGCAATAACAAACACACACACAGAAATTCACAGACATATTCAGGGACACACACTCAAACCTATCAGGTCACACATTACCACAGATCCAGACAATAAAGAGCTTCATACAAAGACAAAGGCGATGTGCTGTGACTCAGAGGGAAGCAGCTGGACCGACGGCTCCAGTGGCAGTGGTGAGCTGTCACCATCTGGAGAAGCACACGTCTGCCTGCCTCCTCACCCAGCCTCGTACATCACCTCCCAACGACGGCGTGTCAGCAGATCAACATGTTTGTCTTCATGTCTGACTTTAATGTACTGTTTATAAATGTGTGTTTGTGTGTCGTACTGGAACAGATGTGATGGTTAGCACGTCACATCGTCGCTGGGAAAATATTTCCACAGTGGACGCTCCAGTGCGTGGATCAGAGAAGCTTTCATCATGTTTTGACATCCTGTCTCATCTAATGATCTGCACCGTGTCTCTGAGCTGGTGGACACACCTGTGAAGAATATTGGACCCATGATGCATTGGTCCTGCACGGCTGAGTCATAGCTTGTGTTTGTGGTTAAAAAACATCTGCCTGTCATTGTCAAGCAAGGATGAGGAAAAGAAAAGCAGACAGGATATCTACCTAGTGGTGAGATTTAGTCATGAACTCCTCCTCCTCCATGAGGTCCGTAAAGTCGTTCCTGGTTTCTAAGAGCTGCTCTTCATATTTGGGTGTAAGAAAAACAATCCAGATCAGGCCATGACTGCAGTCTGGGGCCACGATCTCCAGGTCTGAGAGACTGAGACCAAGACTTGACATTTCACTTCCACTGTTCTTGGCAGGAAACAACACGGTGTGACATTTCTGAGAACAAGGACAGAGAAGAAGAAAGAAAAAAAAACTCCTTCACCTGAAAAGTGTTTTCAAGTGTTTCATTATTATGAGCTGAAGCTGGAAAACTTTTAACATGGATTGTTAATCTGGATTAGGTGTGGAGTTTACTGCTGCTTCAGCTCTTCTGCCATTGACTGTAAAACATTGACATCATCGGTGCAGTTTTTGTTTTTTTTAATCTTTAAAGTCTTGTTTTGCTGGACTTGTGTAACTGTCAGTCTGTCTGTTTGCTTTGTTTCCCAGGATCAGAACACGTTCAGCTCTCAGTAACTCTTCAGGCCAGGCTTAGCTGATCTCCGTCGGGAAACTAACACGCATGCCGGCATTGTGCGATCGACCTATAAACACATGAGAGGGAAGGAACACAGACAAACCATGAAAAAGATATACATTGGCAAAACCGCCTTAAAAGTCCCCCGAAACGGTGGCAAACACCCGAAAAAGAGGTAAGAGCGCCCCCGTCGGACGCCCTCTTTCCATCCGTACTTTTTCATTTTTTTTCATCTGTTTGTCTGTTCGTCCGCCCACGAGGTGTCCCCTCTCGCCGTTCATTGGTGCTAAGCCCACCTCTCTGTGCCCAGAAGTCACGCTGCCTTGTCATCTCATTTCATCTCTGTGGAATAAAAGCACTCATTACGTCTGACTCAGCTGCTGCCGGCAGAGCAGGTCACTAATGGAGGCGTTCTCATCCCTGGAGCTGCTCCACGTAAAAACCTCAACCTCCATCAAACAACAAACAGCCCCTATTCCAGTGCTAATGTCTGCCAATCAAAGAGAATCGGGAGGTGAGGGAGCGTAGGATGCTGGGAAATGCTGGGTGAAATGGTCGAGGTAGGAGTTGTTTCAGTGACTGAAGCGTCTCCCTGGGTAAACTGTGGTTAAACGCCTGGAGAATGAGTGGCGTTCTCGTTGTAGTGTCATAATCATTTGAAGACGTTTGTTAGTGGTTGTTTTTGGTTTTTCTTCTCAGCATGAACCGACTGAGAGACCGGACACTGATGTCTGAGTGTGGAGCTGGGCTGCTGGCACAGATACTTTAATTGGTTGAGTGAGAAATAACTCAAAGGACCAGTTATCTGGCTGGCAGGCCTGCAAATAAAATAAACAGTGAGGGCCCATTATTTCTGCTCGGTGACAACGTCGGCTGTTGTGCTGCAACATGGCAAAATGTGTAGTAATCTTTTAGAAAACCACAGAAATAAGACGAGTGTGTTTTTAGGTCACTATTCTGAGATGGCTCGGTTTCACAGAAACGTATTCATCTTCCAGCACGGCGAAGCTGTGATTGGACCAGAGCAGAGTCTGAGGTTTTGCTCACACATGTAAGGAATGGTCAAGATCTTGATGAGATCGTTTGCTGCTGTGAGGAAAATCTACATAATGAAATAATATTTTAAAATTTGAATTCAGAGCAGCAGCAGTTCTCTGCTGAATTCATTCACCTGTGGAAATGTTCCAGCACATCTGTCTGCTGGCAGCAGTTACGTCACACTGCGCTGTGTTCTATTATTAATGACACGTGGCTCCCCCCGCTGTCAGGTTTAAAAAGCTGCTGTGAGAAATCGGTCCGTGTGTCACACGGGTCCGAGGAGGAAACACTTTATGGAAGGAAACTATTGAGCTGGTGATAAACTCTTGACTAATGACTTAACGAGTTTCACCCGGAAGAACTATTTCCAAAAATACCAAAAATATAACAGCCATGACTTCCACATATTATAGAGTCATTCTTATATTATCAGCTGATTCCACCGTTATAGTTTGGTGGTTAAACTACCACCAAAGTGGCTTCAAAATAACAAACCAAAGAAGTTTGGTTTTGCAAACTGACAATCTCTGACAGGACCAGCTGATTCTGCCTGAGGAGACACAGAGCTGCTGCACTAAAGGCATTGATTTTCTTTAGCAGCATCTACTGCAATGTCAATGGACCATTATTACAAAACAAGTCAGGTGTTTCTAGCCCGTTTACTACACTATACACAAACAAATATACAGGGAAAGATACTCCAGAGTTTTTTTGTTAAAAATGTGTAGTAACACAAATGTAAATACTTTGTTACTTTGATATGAGGATGTGCAGTACTTTATGTATTAATTTTATGAGTAATCTGTGAACCAGTTTCTTCGACATCAACGATGGCCAGGAAAGTGGACTCTCCACTTCGTGACCAAACAAAATGACCTGAAATGACCCCGTCACTGGATCTGTGCTGCAGCTTCTCCGCTGCGCCCACGCCTTTTGCAGCTGCAATCTAATTAAGAGGAAAACCGAGGAGAAGAGACAAAAACAGAGAGAGTGGCAGAATCACATGCCCGTCCACTGTCTGCCGTCAGTTATCTGGACGCAGATAGAGTCATTACCCTCCTTCCTCCATCTGTCCATCAACGCAGGGTCCATTACGGCGGGCCGCGCTCCCACAGATACATCACGGCAGCAGACATTTCCTCTTCCTCCGCTCACACTTGGCCTTTTATTAGACAGAAGCCCAGGTAATGCACATGCTCTAAAAATAGTCATCATCGTGCCGTCTCACTGAATTACACACGGGTTTGTTTGGCTGTTCCGAGAATGTGAGCCTTCGCGGTCCATTCATGTGATGTATTAGAGTTCAGTGGCTCATATTTCACCACAGATTACACCAGCCACTCTCTTCCTGCTCGGCCAATCACACCCCTGATTGGGTTCCTCTGCACCGTGTGGCAGAGCTTTAATGCTGAAGGAGAAAAAAAAAGGAAAAACAAATTGATGTCCGAGGATGTAATGACTCACAGAACCCCCCCCCACCCCCTCCCCTGT